GCGTCGGCGGGCCTTCTAAATTATTTAATATGGAGTCTCGGGAAAATCTCGTCGTTGGCGTCGTTGGGCTCGCCGTCGGCGCCCTAGTTCAAATCTTCTTATTTTTGTCATTTTGGCTCCAAATTCGCTCTTTTTTGTATATTTTTGCTCCAATGACCATAATTCATCATACCTGTAACAAAACATCAAAAATACATTTCCTTAAAGTGCAATATCTCATCATACCCCTTAAAAAACATCAAAAATACATTTCCTTAAAGTGCAATATCATTAAAAATAGTATAAAATATGTATGAAAATCTCAACATATTTTCCTTTGGTCACCAACTAAGGAATTAAGTTTAGCCATATTCCAGGCACCATGAATCCAACAATCAGAAACTAAAAAGTTAGAATCATAAGCAGTATTAGGCAAAGTGGGGGTGAGAAGAAATAACCCGTTCATCATTCCAGAAAGAGATGCTACCATCCCCAATGTCCCAATAAATAAAATGAGAAGCCACCTCCCTGGCAGAAATAATAGCTTTCCAAAGTTTAGAATCTCACACTTTCTATATATATACATACATACAATGAGGTTCCAATGGTACTATTGATAGAGAGAGATTGAAGAACAAAATGATACAAGATGTTTCAAATGAATTTATATTTACTCTTTTTCCAACCTTGTTATGGTTTGCCTCTACAATTTAAGTCGAGCTCACTAACTATATTTGAATTCTATGGAACAATATTATTTAAAGGTTTTGTAAGTTAATTAAATAATGAGTTATCTTAGCAAATATTTATGTACTAATATTCAGGTTAATCCACCAAGGAATCATGAGCAATGCGTATGAATGAGATCACCACATCAGTTTGAAATTATTTCTATCCAATTATATTTATTGTATAACAGAACAGTGACATGTCCCTCGCCATACCAAATGAACCGCACTCCAAATCGCACTGGTCGATAACCTCTAGCCGACCGACCACATTGGGCTAGCCACCAACCGACAACTGAAATCGAATGCCTTGGCCGACCACCTCCAACTAGCCAGCAACATTGGGTTGGCCACCAACTTCCAGCAAGTCGGCCAACCTCTTCCGGTCACCTGATGCAGACGAGTCTTAGCGAAAGAAAAGCTCAAGATCGGCAGAGTCGATCAATGAAATGACCAAAATATCGTGTACACCCCTCAATAAAGCAATGACATATTTATAATATTATCTGTCAGTCCTTTTTTTTAATATAAATAGAGAATCATTGACATGTATAAAAAGAGTCCCTATGATCTCTCTCTCTCACACACACTCTCAACCCTCATGTAAAGGGAACTCTCCTCATCTTCCCACTTGTAACTATTAAGTTTAGTGGAATAAAAAAGGGCCAAAAGAGCCCAGTAACACCCCTCTTTGTCTCCTGTTGGGCAAATATCTCTCTTACTTTTTTTCTCAAATTTCGTGCTCTATACTTTCGGCACGCTCCACATGACAAATATGAATTCAGCACCTATAATATTAAGTGATCTCATCTGCTAGCTCATTTATATCTTGAACAAGTTCTCATGGAAATTAAAAAAAAAAAAAAAGATTCTCGAACACCAACTAATATGTCTTTGTACTGCAGCTTAGATTATGTAATATCTTTCCATTTACATTTTTTTTTTTGGCCCACTTTTCTCTAATTTTGTTATAAAAAGAGAGAGAGAGAGAGAGAGAGAGAGAGAATAATGCCGAGTGGCTATTATAAGAGTCTCCAGCCACCTCTAATGTGCCTAAAATTCAAGTACCATTTCCTTAAGGCCAACTGTGTCAGAGGAGATTCGATCTCCCGACATAAAAATTATTATACCGTCCATGACCCCCCCCCTGACACAGTTGTATTATATACAATTATTTAAAATATTTAATATAACATTTTAATCACATAAATTTAATATATATTGATAAGTGATAGAAAATTCACGGCGGCAGAGTAACAGACTATTGTCTTAGCGTTGTACGAAAGTTCAATACACACACAGATGAAAAAGAAACAAACGATGATGACTCCAGAAGTTTTTACGTGGAAAACCCGTAAAGTGAAAAATCACGGGGTCTGGCCCAGTTGCAGAAATCCACTATTGAATTGATGATTACAAAAATTCTTTATCCCACAATCGAGAAAATGGTAACTATATTTTTCAGATTACAACGTCAAAGATCACGTCTAGTTGGTGGTGATCGATGGTGGTCAGTGGTGGTCGATGACGGTTTGCGGAGGTCGACGACAGTCGGCGGTGGTCGACAACGGTTGGTGATGGTGCTGAGCTGGCTCCCCTCATGTGAGGGGTGGGGGTCTATTTATAGTGTTCTAGGTGCAATTAATACAGGAATATCAATTATTTTGATCGGGCGGTCCAGAGAGTTTCATTTGATCATGTCGCGTTTAATGGACATTTGAGTGTCTTAACGATATCAGAATTGAGCAATCTTGGTCTCGTTGGATTCATTTTGTCGAGCCGCTCGATTCGAGTATAAACTTGCAAGTGTCGACATCTGTTTGACTTTCCAAATGTGTTCAGAAATCTTTTAAGGGTGGTTTAATGTCTTGATCTGAGCTTGATTTGACTCGGATTGCGCTAGTTTTCATAGCATTAGGTCTGTCTCATCAAGCCGGTCAGTTTAACTATAAGTTTACTAAAATCGGAGCTCTGAATGTCTTTTTATCAAGATTTAAATGTTTCATGCTTAAAATATCATCTCAAAATTCATGATTTACCTCGAGATTCGTGTCGGATGATGAAAATTTGTCGGTGGCATATCAATAATATTGTTATATTGAACTTTTTGTCATATTTAATACATATTAAATTTTATTACTTTTTAAATCAATCAAGCTAAACTTCAAATCAAAATCAACCTAAAAAAGCAAACGCATGCAAATCGAGCCAAACATTACCAAATTATTCACAGATCATTTCAAACACTTGCCCACTAAAATAATTTGGAGTTTATTATAAATTTTGTTAATAACATGCATGATTTTGGC